CTGGGTGTACTTTACACCCTGGCATCGATCCTAAGTGTGTTTGCCAAGTAAGAAAGACCCCATTACTTAATTGTTTGCTGATCTGCTGCCTTGCCCCCCCACCTTCTGTCCCTGATCGACACTCGCTAGTGGTCTGTCTGTCTAACACCGCCAGAATACTAGGAGGCCAGGTACGGTATGTAAACCTCTAGCAGTCTACTAGTAGATCTAGTATGGCAGGTAAACTTTTCGCAGTCTACCTGGTGTGCCTGATGCCCTAAATTGAAACAAAACAAAAAATATATATATAGTTGCACACATATTAAACATTTATTTATTCAACAAAAAACTTATGTTAATATAATTAACATATGAAAAATATATAATTAAAACTTCATAATCCAGTTATAATATTATAATTGAAGGATAATTGTACAAATTTATCTTCTTTCCATTTAATCTTCACCTGGTGGTAGACATTTGTATTACGGAGACCTCTCAGGTCATCAGGCAGATGGTATATAATCTTCCAACAATAACTTGCGCACTGATGCCACTATAGACTCATCATATCTCGTGAAACTTGGAACTTTAGTTCAGAATAGCTGAATCTTTTAACAATAACATCCTGGCTTACATTCAAATATAGTTACTGGTTGGTTATTAAGCTTTATGGTGAATGTAATAACCCTCCAGAGTTTGATTGGCCCTATTAATCCTCCAGAGGTTGATAGGTCTTAATAACCCTCCAGAGGTTGATAGATCTTAATAACCCTCCAGAGTTTGATTGGCCCTATTAATCCTCCAGAGGTTGATAGGTCTTAATAACCCTCCAGAGGTTGATAGATCTTAATAACCCTCCAGAGGTCGATTGGCCTTAATAATCCTCCAGAGGTGGATTGGCCTTAATAAACCTCCTTGATCGACAGGCCTTAATAACCCTCCAGAGGTTGATAGGACTTAATAATCTTCCTGAGTTTGATTGGTTTTAATAATCTTCAGGAGGCTGATAGACCTTAATAACTGTACAAAGGGTGATAGGCCTTAATAACTATCAAGAGGGTGATAGGCCTTAATAACCCACCAGAGGGTGATAAGTTGTTGCATTATATTTAAATAAGCTATGAAATAGCCTACTTTCTAAAGTGGTAGATATATGTAGAATATTGTATTAGTATACACACACATTCTATTCTATTCTCGTCTCCGAGGCTATGGATCACCACAATTCTCGTATGGTAACCCATAGCAACCCGTTCTCTCACTTGCTTATAGTCAATATCTTGCTTATGAATAAGTGCATATGTGACATGCTAATTTATTGTGAGTATTTGAGTTTACCTTGAAAAGCTGAATAGAAAACCACAACCTAACCTAACCTTTTTAGTATGTTAAGATATTACAATTAGTACTAAACCTATATTGATATTACAGTTTTATAAAAATAATGAAACAAAATTAAAATATTTAAATAAATTGTAAAATAACTCAGGATATTGGCATATTTTATATAAAATCTCTATTGTTTAATAAAACTGAGAGAAAAAGTTAGTGCCTTGAAAAAAATATGACTTGGAATATGTCACATATGTACTTATTTATAAGCAAAATAGTGACTAAAAGCTATGAGTCATATATATATGTGGTGTCTTGTGCGAGAGCAGGTTGCCCATATACGTGTGCTTACTTATTCATTAACTAGAGTTCAAGGGATAACAAAACCAAATAGAAAAGTCAGGTTCTAGAATTTTATTACCAAAGAGATATCATATTTCTGTACAAACTATTTACAAGGAGGAGCAACTACCCAAGATTCACAGCCTGACTAGATGTAACGCCAAAATAAACCTATGACCGCCATCTGGCAACACCGTCGGGTCTTAGTAATAAATACAAATTTGTCATGTTTTATTTATTTACAAAGGCATTTTTGTAAATACACTGATTTGCAAATATAAACTTTTATTGATGTAAGTTATGGAGGACATTAGACATACCTTGTGTTGGTACCGAGGAACAACACACATATTGACACTAAAACATTCATAAACATTCTAACCGAAGCTAAACATAATCTGTTTTGTAAGTGGCTGAACATTTTCTTAAGCCTCTGAGATATGACCATAGACACCTGGATCACGTGGTTGTCTCAGTACACCTTCCCATCCTCTTCAAATAATAATAGTACATTTTATAACTATGTGGCCGAGAGTACCCACATGCCGTGATGGGGTCGCTGTAATCAAGTTTTTGTACTATTTTTTTTAATAGAGTCCGGAAAAACTAAATACTAAAAAAAACTAACTTAAATATTCCTAGGCCCTAGTATAGCACATATATGTACTATATTAGGCCGCAGATAGCGTGTATTAGGCCCAGGATGGTTTGGTTAGGGTTTGTTAGCAACAAAAATATAAAAAAAAATCTTCTGGTTTGTCTAAATTTAATACTACGACGTCAACTTTCTGGCAGTTTATCACGACATATTGGTGCTTTCCACCACAGAGTTATTATAAGTATATATATATATATATATATATATATATATATATATATATATATATATATATATATATATATATATATATATATATATATATATATATATATATATATATATATATATATATATTCTTGCTGCATGGTATTATTGAAAAGTGTACTTAAATATGTGAGTATGATATGCGTTCAGGTCAGAACCAAGGCTGATAGCATACATAAAAATGGATAAACTCTCACGGTATATCCATCATTATACCTCTTACCTTCACGTGGGGGGGGGGGGCTCTCTTGTTTTAAAGACATTTCTGATCTTATCAAGAGATATATACATAGTGGTGTTGCCAACTTCTGAGTGTATATACATAATGGTGTTGCCAACTTCTCAGTGAATATACATAGTGGTGTTACCAACTTGCTAGTGTTTTTACACATAGGTGTTGCCAACTTGCCAATGTTTATACACAAAATTGTTGCCAACTTGCAAGTGTTTATACTCAAAGGTGTTGCCAACTTGCCAGTGTCTATACACAGAGGTATTACCTACTTTTCAAGTGTTTATATATATGTGTGTGTTGCAAATTTCTCTGTGAATATACACAGAAGTACAGCCAACGTTTTATTCTATACACACAAAAAGTTTAAGTTTACCCTGACCCGTTCGATATTAAATTATACTTGCAGATGAGACACAAAGAAAAAATTGAGAAATCAGGAGTGGAATCTAGAATAACAAACATTGTATAAATGAGAAACAACATTTTTCCAAGCAAAACAAAAACGCCAAAGGTAGACCATTTGTTTATTATTAGGAATGATAATTTATCATTCCTAATCGCTCTGCAAGTTTATAATTAAACGATAAATGGTTACCAACTATATTTGTTAACATCAAGAGTCAGGGAAGATATCAAGAGTCTTCCGGTGTTATGATGGTAATGAACTGACAAGGATGACTTTGGTGTTTAAGAACACGACTGGAGCCCGCGACGGTGTGAGTAACCAGTAGGGCGGCCTGGGAGGATGGATCATTACACATATATATTGACGTCGACTTATTGATCTGTCATGTGCATACCAAGACATATTTTGTCTTGTGAGAGCCAAAGTGTTGCATGTATGGTTGGGTGGTGTTAGAGAAGGATTGATTGATTCATGAAGATTAAGCCACCTAAGAAGTGGCACGGGCATGAATAGCCCGTAAGATGAGGAGGAGAGTTGTATAAGCCTCGGAGCTGGAGAGGTGGTCGGGTGGTGTCAGAGAAACAGGAGAAGAACAGATCATAAATCATTTATTTAAAATAGGTGTGAAAAAAGTGGTAAGCCACATCCCAGGAAGAATATTCGCCCCTGCCACCACACCATCAACTCCAGGCAGCCTCACCATAACTGTCAATCATACCACCACCACCACAATCGTAACTACCACTATACCTCACCCACCACCATCACACGATCTCCATATTATGAGTAACTCATAGACTGCTACTCATAAATGAGATTATATCTATATCAGGTATTTTACAGATGTTTTACAAGCCAGTTTACACTACAAATCACAGTGCCTCACCGATTTTCAACAACATATTTACACATGTAAATGTTCTACCGATCTTTTGCGATTTATTTATTGACTTCGTTCAAACTAACTTTTACATATTTAAAGTTCTCCTTAATTTACAACCATATAACAAGACTCGCAAAGGTATTGCCTGCACCCCACAAAGAACATACCTACACCTGACTTTAGCCTCTGCTCATGTGTGTGTGTACACCTGTTACATCATATGAAAAAGGTCAATAAATTTACAAAAGTCCTCCATACAAAAAGTCAAAACAAGCTAAACTTATAAAAAAAACTAATTCTATGCTAATCTAAATCTCAGATCACCTGTCATTGTTAAATTAAAAATTGTTCATACCTACTACTGTACAACTGGCTAATTTATATATATATATACATTACCACTTTCACTAAGAGGGGCTCACTTAAGTATTTTCAGTACAAATAAATACAAACTTGAAAAAACTATGTATATAAAAAATTTGATCTCATTTCTTTATAGATTTATATAAACATATTTTAATACTTAAAAAATATGTATTACATATTTAACAAAAAATTGTATTTAGAAATTATTGTTTAATTACTAAATAAATTATTGAAAACTGTGGTATTAACCAAATCCACATCATTATTTTTTTCGGAATATATTTAAAAAAAATATGGGATTGAATTATTTGTCTTCATTGCTTGGTCGTCCATCCTTGATGTTACTTCTGCACCTCACTAATTGACTCAATAATTTATAGCCTCAACTCACTTAAGTGTTTATAACGTCTCACGTTATATGTATTTTAATTAAAGCTATACATACCGACTATCTTCTTTTCCACGAAGAAAATGGAGATTCCGTCACTGAGCTTCGTGGTAGAACAGCTTCAAAACGTTTGAACTGTGAAGTAGTGACGTAACTAAGAGACTCCACAACTTGTAGTTGATTTATAAGCGACGACGACCTGCTGGTCGGATGTGCCCCAATATTCGACAATTTCATAGCGAGGCGCTTTCATTAGTCAAGATTTGTAGACGTCTTTAAAAGCTGTTGTCTGTATTCTCGATGCCAAGATTATTGACGTTCGTGAGAGTTGCCGTCTGCATTGCGGATACCAAGATGGTTGTCTCCTCTTGTTGACGTTCGTGAAAGCTGCCGTCTGCATTGCGGATACCAAGATGGTTGTCTCCTCTTATTGACGTTCGTGAAAGCTATCGTCTGTATTTTCTGTTTCTATTTTTTCTGTCTGTTCGTGAATGCTGCTACGGTATATATTAAGATGGCTAACTCGTTATTTACCTCTAGCTTGCTGGTATTCTAAAAATATATATGTAACTCCTTCGCAGCTTGACAAATAGCAGCTGTCAGAACAAAGACACTCTCTACAAAGAATGCTTGCCTTTTGTGGAAAGCTATTGGTTGATCCTAACTTTCTCTGACGATCCCATCTTCCCGAGACACAAGTTAACGTCACTGCAGCAGTAACATGAGACATCCAAAGATGGAAGCGCGGGTTACTATTTATTTACCACTACGGGCTCGCCATAGCCCGTGCTACTTGGAACTTTTGTTGAGTTGATGAATCTTTAAAAACAACATCAGACTACTTTAGTTTCTTTCCAGATATAAACATATTAATATTTGTGAAAGACTTTGACCGCCCAGTTCCTTGGGTTTCATGTGGAAACTGAAGTGAAATAAGGGAACCAAACTCGACGACTTACCAGAAGTCAGTTCAGTGCGAAAACTAGACTCATTGCGTCCAGAGTCAGTTCAGAGAGCTGTGTGATGCTTCATGTGAAGACTGAACCGTCCAGAGTCAGTTCAGAAAGCTGTGTGACCCAACATGTGAAGACTGAGGCGTCCAGAGTCAGTTCAGAGAGCTGTGTGACCCAACATGTGAAGACTGAGCCGTCCAGAGTCAGTTCAGAGAGCTGTGTGACCCAACATGTGAAGACTGAGCCGTCCAGAGTCAGTTCAGAGAGCTGTGTGACGCTTCATGTGAAGACTGAACCGTCCAGAGTCAGTTCAGAGAGCTGTGTGACCCAACATGTGAAGACTGAGGCGTCCATAGTCAGTTCAGAGAGCTGTGTGATGCTTCATGTGAAGACTGAACCGTCCAGAGTCAGTTCAGAGAGCTGTGTGACCCAACATGTGAAGACTGAGCCGTCCAGAGTCAGTTCAGAGAGCTGTGTGATGCTTCATGTGAAGACTGAACCGTCCAGAGTCAGTTCAGAGAGCTGTGTGACCCAACATGTGAAGACTGAACCGTCCAGAGTCAGTTCAGAGAGCTGTGTGACCCAACATGTGAAGACTGAGCCGTCCAGAGTCAGTTCAGAGAGCTGTGTGATGCTTCATGTGAAGACTGAACCGTCCAGAGTCAGTTCAGAGAGCTGTGTGATGCTTCATGTGAAGACTGAACCGTCCAGAGTCAGTTCAGAGAGCTGTGTGACCCAACATGTGAAGACTGAACCGTCCAGAGTCAGTTCAGAGAGCTGTGTGACCCAACATGTGAAGACTGAGCCGTCCAGAGTCAGTTCAGAGAGCTGTGTGATGCTTCATGTGAAGACTGAACCGTCCAGAGTCAGTTCAGAGAGCTGTGTGACCCAACATGTGAAGACTGAACCGTCCAGAGTCAGTTCAGAGAGCTGTGTGACCCAACATGTGGAGACTGAGGCGTCCAGAGTCAGTTCAGAGAGCTGTGTGACCCAACATGTGAAGACTGAGCCGTCCAGAGTCAGTTCAGAGAGCTGTGTGACCCAACATGTGAAGACTGAGCCGTCCAGAGTCAGTTCAGAGAGCTGTGTGACCCAACATGTGAAGACTGAGCCGTCCAGAGTCAGTTCAGAGAGCTATGTGACCCAACATGTGAAGACTGAGCCGTCCAGAGTCAGTTCAGAGAGCTGTGTGACCCAACATGTGAAGACTGAGCCGTCCAGAGTCAGTTCAGAGAGCTGTGTGACCCAACATGTGAAGACTGAGCCGTCCAGAGTCAGTTCAGAGAGCTGTGTGACGCTTCATGTGAAGACTGAGGCGTCCAGAGTCAGTTCAGAGAACTGTGTGACACAACATGTGAAGACTGAGGCGTCCAGAGTCAGTTCAGAGAGCTGTGTGACCCAACATGTGAAGACTGAGGCGTCCATAGTTAGTTCAGAGAGCTATGTGACCCAACATGTGAAGACTGAACCGTCCAGAGTCAGTTCAGAGAGCTGTGTGACGCTTCATGTAAAGACTGAGGCGTCCAGAGTCAGTTCAGAGAACTGTGTGACACAACATGTGAAGACTGAGGCGTCCAGAGTCAGTTCAGAGAGCTGTGTGACCCAACATGTGAAGACTGAGGCGTCCAAAGTCAGTTCAGAGAGCTATGTGACACAACATGTGAAGACTGAGGCGTCCAGAGTCAGTTCAGAGAGCTGTAAGCCATCCAGAGTCAGTTCAGAGAGCTGTGTGACCCAACATGTGAAGACTGAGGCGTCCAGAGTCAGTTCAGAGAGCTATGTGACGCTTCATGTGAAGACTGAGGTGGTCTGACCTGGAGAAAGCTCGCTCACACAGTCGACACTGGAAAGGTCGATCTCCAGTGTGTTTACGGTAGTGTCGAGTCAGTTCGTCGGACCTGGCGAACTTCCAGCCACAACCCTTCCACTTACAGGTGTAGGGCTTCTCCCCGGTGTGAGTCCTCAGGTGGGCCTTCAGGTGGGAAGACTTAATATAAGTCTTGATGCAGCCTTCATAGGGACAATTGTGGATGATGACTTTCCTCCGTGCCCTCCGACGTCGCGGCTTGGCGGGGGACGCGGACACCTCGGGTGCTGGCACTGACGTAGTCAAGGCTGACGGCCCGCAGGTGTTGAAGTCAAGGTACTGGGTGTAGGTGGTGTAGGTGGGGTGTGGTGAGGGCGTCCAGGGGGTTGAGGTAGGGATGGCATAGTCAGGGTGTGGGTTGGTGTGGTGGTGGGGGCCCACGGGGTACTGTGGGGGCGTGGGGGGTAGAACATATTGGGCAGCTGGGCCCTGATGTTGTTGTTGCTGCTGTTGTTGTTGTGGGATAGTGGGGGTTGTGCCCATGTACTGTAGGGGCGGGAGAGGCCCTGACGAGGCATAAGGGTCGTCCCTGCGGTAGGAAGAGGAGGCTACACATGGGTATTTGGCCGGTGATGCTACGCAGTCTGGGTATGTCCTCTTGACACCCGCCCGGCCGCCCTGGCTGAAGTCTCCATACTCAGCCTTCACCCTACAGGAGGAAGTGTCGTAGGCAGGGTGTGGGGGTCCGTAGTGGGGGTCGTGGTGTGGGGGCGTGGGGGGCAGGCCGGCAGTGTGGGCGGCCAGGGGCGACGCCCCCATCACCCCCTCCCCCATGGAGGGTGTCGAGGAGCCCCTTGGTAGGGGGTGTGGTGGGAGGAGGGAGGGGAGGGGCCCGGAGGAGTGGTGGGGGGTGGAGGCTCCCCCAACACCCCCATGGGTGGAAGGGGGCGGCCACCCCCACCCTCCCCTCCTGCTGAAGGCGTGGAAGGGGCGTGGCAGCTGTAGGTGCCGCCCACGGGCGGGTGAGCGGGTGGGGAGTGGGAACTAGTCAGGTGTGTGGGCGGGGGCTGGCCAGGGCCCAGATGGGCGGGCGTGTGGGCGGGCGCGTGGGCTGGCGTGTGGGCGGGCAAGGTGGAGGCGTGGTGGGCGTGGGCGTCCGCGGGCGGCTGGTAGTAGTGGAGGTCCTCCTGCGCCTCCCCCAGCAGTACAGACTCCAGGTCCAGCCACTCCTGGAGTGACACCACTAATTAGTACACAGGTAATTTATGCCTCTCACACAGGTAGTAATTAGTCCAGGACAGGTAATTAGTACACGGGAAGGTAATTAGTGCATGGAATTAGGTAAAAACCAGGTAATCAGTTCACAAAACAGGCAATTAGACCACAAAATAAGTAAATCATTCATAAAAATTTAAATTACTCACGCGGTCACATAATTATTTCGTTTAAAGTAATATTGAAATTTATTAAAATATTAAATAATAACAAAAAATGCCATTAATTAATAATATAGGTAATTAATCGATCACATTATTCTCTCAAGCAGATAATTAGGCACTTAAAGAGGTAATAATTCGCTTTTACGAAGATAATTAGTCATTCACGCAGAGATAACTAGGTACTCTCACACAGGTAATTACTCTCTCTCCCACAGGTAATTACTCTCTCTCACACAGGTAATTACTCTCTCTCACACAGGTAATTACTCTCTCTCACACACAGGTAATTACTCACTCTCACACAGGTAATTACTCATTCTCAGTAATTACTTACTCAGAGGTGACTAATTACCACTAAGAAGTTACTGATAGTGAGTAATCACTCTCACACAGGTAATCAGTGACTTACACAGGTAATTAGTGACTCACACAGGTAATCAGTGACTCACAGGTAATTAGTGACTCACACAGGTAATTAGTGACCCACACAGGTAATTAGTGACTCACACAGGTAATTAGTGACCCACACAGGTAATTAGTGACTCACACAGGTAATTAATGACTCACACAGGTAATCAGTGACTCACACAGGTAATCACCGCCAGACAGGTAATTAGTTACTCTCCCAACAAGAGACCACAAAACATGTTAATCTATAACTTTTATTCCAGTAGAACAAAATGAACAAATATAACTGATGGTGTAATGTTCAAGACATAAGCAACGGCGGGGGGGGGAGGGATGAAATGGTTCCGCAACTGCCGGAAGCAGGTTATGCAGAGCCTGCAACAAAGGGGGTTCGAATCCTTGGACTACAGTTGATACAGCGCCGCCCTTGTAATTTACAGGGTCGGCGTTCGAGCCCCGAAGGTGCAGGTAATTGGGTACTGTTCCTATACTATGTGTTCATACCCCAGCTCCTGGTCCTCATACCCCAGCTCCTGGTCCTCATACCCCAGCTCCTGGTCCTCATACCCCAGCTCCTGGTCCTCATACCCCAGCTCCTGGTCCTCATATCCCAGCTCCTGGTCCTCATACCCCAGCTCCTGGTCCTCATATCCCAGCTCCTGGTCCTCATACCCCAGCTCCTGGTCCTCATACCCCAGCTCCTGGTCCTCATACCCCAGCTCCTTGTCCTCATATCCCAGCTCCTGGTCCTCATACCCCAGCTCCTGGTCCTCACACCCCAGCTCCTTTTCCTCATACCCCAGCTCCTGGTCCTCATACCCCAGCTCTTGGTCCTCATATCCCAGCTCCTTTTCCTCATACCCCAGCTCCTGGTCCTCATATCCCAGCTCCTGGTCCTCATACTCCAGCTCCTGGTCCTCATACCCCAGCTCCTGGTCCTCATACCCCAGCTCCTTGTCCTCATATCCCAGCTCCTTTTCCTCATACCCCAGCTCCTGGTCCTCATACCTCAGCTCCTGGTCCTCATACCCCAGCTCCTGGTCCTCATACCCCAGCTCCTGGTCCTCATACCCCAGCTCCTGGTCCTCATACCCCAGCTCCTGGTCCTCATACCCCAGCTCCTGGTCCCCATACCCCAGCTCCTGGTCCTCATACCCCAGCTCCTGGTCCTCATACCCCAGCTCCTTGTCCTCATACCCCAGCTCCTGGTCCTCATACCCCAGCTCCTGGTCCTCATACCCCAGCTCCTGGTTCTCATACCCCAGCTCCTGGTCCTCATACCCCAGCTCCTGGTCCTCATACCCCAGCTCCTGGTCCTCATACCCCAGCTCCTGGTCCTCATACCCCAGCTCCTTGTCCTCATACCCCAGCTCCTGGTCCTCATACCCCAGCTCCTGGTTCTCATACCCCAGCTCCTGGTCCTCATACCCCAGCTCCTGGTCCTCATACCCCAGCTCCTGGTCCTCATACCCCAGCTCCTGGTCCTCATACCCCAGCTCCTGGTCCCCATACCCCAGCTCCTGGTCCTCATACCCCAGCTCCTGGTCCTCATACCCCAGCTCCTGGTCCTCATACCCCAGCTCCTTGTCCTCATACCCCAGCTCCTGGTCCTCATACCCCAGCTCCTGGTCCTCATACCCCAGCTCCTGGTCCTCATACCCCAGCTCCTGGTCCTCATACCCCAGCTCCTGGTCCTCATACCCCAGCTCCTGGTCCTCATACCCCAGCTCCTGGTCCTCATACCCCAGCTCCTGGTCCTCATACCCCAGCTCCTGGTCCTCATACCCCAGCTCCTGGTCCTCATACCCCAGCTCCTGGTCCTCATACCCCAGCTCCTGGTCCTCATACCCCAGCTCCTGGTCCTCATACCCCAGCTCCTGGTCCTCATACCCCAGCTCCTGGTCCTCATACCCCAGCTCCTGGTCCTCATACCCCAGCTCCTGGTCCTCATACCCCAGCTCCTGGTCCTCATACCCCAGCTCCTGGTCCTCATACCCCAGCTCCTGGTCCTCATACCCCAGCTCCTGGTCCTCATACCCCAGCTCCTGGTCCTCATACCCCAGCTCCTGGTCCTCATACCCCAGCTCCTGGTCCTCATACCCCAGCTCCTGGTCCTCATACCCCAGCTCCTGGTCCTCATACCCCAGCTCCTGGTCCTCATACCCCAGCTCCTGGTCCTCATACCCCAGCTCCTGGTCCTCATACCCCAGCTCCTGGTCCTCATACCCCAGCTCCTGGTCCTCATACCCCAGCTCCTGGTCCTCATACCCCAGCTCCTGGTCCTCATACCCCAGCTCCTGGTCCTCATACCCCAGCTCCTGGTCCTCATACCCCAGCTCCTGGTCCTCATACCCCAGCTCCTGGTCCTCATACCCCAGCTCCTCATACCCCAGCTCCTGGTCCTCATAAATCTATAACAACACCACGGCGTCTCTGAAAATGTAAGGCGCACCTTGCGAAACGCATCCCCCAGGCGTCAGACTATAATAAAGTGTAAAAATGAACTTTGGAGAGTTAATTTTTCAACTTTTCAAGGGAGGGGGAGAGAAGAGGGTAGATGTAGGGAGAAGAGACAAGGAGAGAAGTAGAATGGCAGGTGAGGGAGAAAAAATAAGAGGGTCCCGGGCACCGCCGGGGTACCCCTAGTAGTCTACCTATGAGAGTATAAGGTTGTTAGACTCCGTCTCTCCTTCTGAGGGTCAGAAGTTCGAGCCTCCTAAGGGCCCAAGTACCACAGTGCTAATTAACATAAAGCCAGAATAAACAGGACCATTACCATATACAGGTATACCGGCCAGCACGCTTAAATAACCTCCAGTCATCTCTACGGAACAAAGTGCCTCGTCTGATCCAAGAATGCCTTGTTTGGTGTTCAGTCACTCCGTAAAGAATCCAACCTTTCCTCCCCCCAGCAGGAGCGTGCTGGCCCTCCCAACCCTCCCAACCTCTCGCCTGTGACGCACTGACGTCGAGGCTGACCCGTTGCTTAACCGCCCCGCGGCAGCGATATTTAAACACGTCTCAATTTTCTGGCCAAAACCGTTGCGCGCCGCAAAACAAACGAACTTAAAATGGTTTAATTTATTACCAGGTCGATGATATTTATGTAGCGGGATCATAAACAAACAACACGCTGGGTAAAGAAGCAAGTACAGGGTACTTATTACACACTTCGTGCGCCTGGCAGTAGAGCAAACATTGGCGGCAGCCCAAACTGACGTACCATAATTCATACATATAATTGAATGCGACTATATTTACAGAATATCGTAACGACACGTAACGACAACGTATAACGAACGACACCTAAACGATAAATAATGTGGTGAATGGGAATAAACTGTGACGATTAAAATTAAATAGTTACACATCAGCTAAAGATGTCATCAACTAATAGAATGATTTTGAGCCGTGTTTCTCAGGCCACATCGTAAGTCACGTTACACGACAAGTTAGGTCACATCGTAAGTCACGTTACACCACAAGTTAGGCCACATCGTAAGTCACATTACACGACAAGTTAGGCCACATCGTAAGTCACGTTACACCACAAGTTAGGCCACATCGTAAGTCACGTTACACGACAAGTTAGGCCACATCGTAAGTCACATTACACGACAAGTTAGGCCACATCGTAAGTCACGTTACACGACAAGTTAGGCCACATCGTAAGTCACGTTACACCACAAGTTAGGCCACATCGTAAGTCACATTACACGACAAGTTAGGCCACATCGTAAGTCACATTACACGACAAGTTAGGCCACATCGTAAGTCACATTACACCACAAGTTAGGCCACATCGTAAGTCACGTTACACGACAAGTTAGGCCACATCGTAAGTCACGTTACACCACAAGTTAGGCCACATCGTAAGTCACGTTACACGACAAGTTAGGCCACATCGTAAGTCACATTACACGACAAGTTAGGCCACATCGTAAGTCACATTACACCACAAGTTAGGCCACATTGTAAGTCACATTACACGACAAGTTAGGCCACATCGTAAGTCACGTTACACCACAAGTTAGGCCACATCGTAGTCACGTTTACACGACAAGTTAGGCCACATCGTAAGTCACATTACACGACAAGTTAGGCCACATCGTAAGTCACGTTACACCATAAGTTAGGCCACATCGTAAGTCACGTTACACGACAAGTTAGGCCACATCGTAAGTCACATTACACGACAAGTTAGGCCACATCGTAAGTCACGTTACACCACAAGTTAGGCCACATCGTAAGTCACGTTACACCACAAGTCAGGCCACATCGTAAGTCACGTTACACCACAAGTTAGGCCACATCGTAAGTCACGTTACACCACAAGTCAGGCCACATCGTAAGTCACGTTACACCACAAGTCAGGCCA